TGGGGCGGCAGCTGCGCTTCTGCGTTGCTTCGCTTCGCGGGACGTGGCCCCCGCTCCCGGTTTCAGGAAGGACCTGAGCTGCTGGGCTGTGTGATGGCGGCACCATCTGCTAGGGCCAGGCTGGGGGAAGCGTCAGAGGCGTGGAGGAGGGATGGCCCTGGGCCTAGGCCTGGGCCTTACAAGGCCAACAAGCCAAGAGTTGCCTGCTGGGGCTGTGATGATGCAGCGATGAAGGGACAGCAGAGGTGCAGGCCCAAGTGCCAAGAGGAAGAAGTGCCAAATCAACCAAAACAAAAGAAGGAGGTGCCAGTCATTGCAAGTGTCTGGCAACGGCATGAATAAGATGTGAGAAATGCTGCCTCTTTCTTCGACACCAAGAGGAGGTGACAGGTGGCAGAAAGGACAAGTGGCCTCTGATCCGCTTTTCAGCCCCTGTCCTAGCAGTCAGGATACAAAAAGGGGATAAAAGTGAGACCAATTTCTCTTCCGACTGGGAACAAAAAAAACCAAGTCTGATTTCCTCCTCCTCTGAAAGTATCCAGCTGATCCAATTCTTCTTTTCTAGAAGAAACCGAAGCAAACGTGGCTCTGACTTCTATCCTTGTTCCTGAAGAGCTCTCTCGTTTTCCGCCTTGCCTCTTGCGGTGGTAGTTGAGACGTTGGGGGTTCCTTGGCTCGCTTGATTCTTGCCTGAGTGGCCACAATGAGGAGGTGGGATGTATACTTAATACATCATCCAGGGATTTCCTACACCGTGAATCTAATAAAATGGAATTCATCTGCCTCAAGAGAGAGCTGAACTGAGTTACGGTTACTAGGATTTCAGCGTGTGGTTCTAGTGCAGCTTCATACCGCATGCATCTGATCTAGCTGCATGTTCATCCCTACTCATAACATCATAGTCTCATAGTAGGTAGGGTCAGAAGGGACCTCAGCAGATCATCAAGTCCAACCCCCGGCCATGGCAAGAAAGAGTACTGGGGTCACATCATTGCATTTTATTGTTGTTCAGTAACTAAGCAAAACAAACAAAAATGGAAAATGAGAGCTACGAAGAATAGGGTTTTTTAAACTAGTTTTCTACCAACTATCAAATAGTAATATGTTCCTTTAACAAACTAAGTGGTTAAATCCACTACTAGCATTCAGAGATGTCACCCATTATGCAGTCCTATAGTTTCACACAAAGATGGCGCCTGCTTAGTTCTGGTTAAAGTAATTCATATCAGAAATAATTATTCAGAAAATAAGCTGTAGACTTACTATCGATTAAATGAGCTCCACATGAACAGTACATACAAGCACCATGTTTTTAATACATATAAACTTTTCTGGGTCGTCTTATCCAA